ATTTCAGAAAAAAATCATCACTATCGGTATCATTGTGTTATGATAAATATGAATGAAAATAATGACAATGGGTGATAATAATGATAATATTGATAATTATAAGGTGATGAAGATGATGGTCATTGTGGTGATGAGGATGTCAGGACCATAATGATAACTATAATAATAACATTATGAACATAATAATGGTACTGATGATAATAACAACAATCGCAATAAAAAGAAAAAGAAGAATGAGATAAAAAGTAAAGTAAAAGTAAAAATCTTTAAAAAAAAAAACAGATATAATGATATCAACATCACTATCAATATCATTATCACCATCGTCAGCACCATTACCAATAGCAATTAAGATTAACATAACAAATATTAACAATAATAATAACGACATACCTTTCGAAGTAACCTTGCCAACGACACCCTACTGATTAATACAACTATCTAATTAAATACACATCTGACCTCGTCTGCCGGGCCCATCAAAGCAGACCCGACATATTTAACATAGCAGTGTATAGCGTGAAGGCATACCAAGATGGAACGGGATGCTGCTCAAAGTAACACCGAGATTACTTGAACATTAAACTTGAAATTTGTACAAGAGAGAACCGTGAGAGGAGATAGGGTGATAGATAGATATGAGAGATAGAGTGAATCTCGTACGAAAGGAAGGAAAGCTACTTATAATTATCAGATAATTGAGATAATTATCAAAGAAGGAGGAATGCATGTGTTATTGTCGAGGTGAGCTCTAGGTTGGTATTCGATGGGCGTGCCTGAGAGGAAGGAGAGGAGGGAGAGGGGGGGAGAGGAGGGAGGAGGCGAGGCAGGAGGGGGAGGGGGAAGAGATGGAGAAGAAGGAGAGAAGGGAGGAGGCGAGGCAGGAGGGGGAGGAGGGAGAGGAAGGAGGAGGCGAGGGGGAAGAGATGGAGAAGAGGGAGAGGAGGGAGGAGGCGAGGGAGGAGGGGGAGAAGCGAGAGGAGGGGGAGGAGGGGGAAGAGATGGAGGAGAGGAGGGAGAGGAGGGAGGAGGCGAGGCAGGAGGGGGAGAGGGGGAAGAGATAGAGAGGAGGGAGAGGAGGGAGGAGGCGAGGGAGGAGGGGGAGAAGCGAGAGGAGGGCGAGGAGGGGGAAGAGATGGAGGAGAGGAGGGAGAGGAGTGTGAGGAGGGAGAGGGGGAGGGAGGATGAGAGGGGGGGAAGGAGGGAAAACATGGAGAGGGAGGGATAGGAGGGAGAAAAGAGGAGAAGGGAGGGAGGGAGATGAGAGGAGGGAAGGGAGGGAGATGGGAGAGGAAATGAAGGCGAGGAGAGGGAGAGAGAAGAGATCGAGGAGAGGAGAGGAGAGGAGGGAAACGGGGGGTGGGGGGAGGATGAGATGAAGGAGAGGAAGGAGAAGGGAGGGGAGGAGGCGGGGGGGGGGGAGGGACGGCTGAGGATAGGGTTGACGATCCCCGCTGATTGCGTTGGGGATGGAAACTCGGCGATTGATTGGATGGATTGTAGGGAAGATGATAGGGGTCCCCGTGAGGAATGTTAGGGGCTTTGCAATGTTGCAAGTGGCATGTCATTGTATCTATGTTGAATATTGGCTTCTGTGTACGTCTGTGCGTGTGTATTCATCTATTTTGTTTATTTGTTTTTTTGTTTTGTGTTGATTTTCACTTCTCCCCCATCATCATCTTTTTCTTTTCTTCTTCTTCTTCTTCTCCTTATATATATATGGTCATGTTTCCCGAAGGCAAAACAACACAGACATGATGGTGTAGATTGTTATTAAACATAATTAGACTATTACTACCATTCACTAGTTCAAAATAGCTACTTCACATTGTGTTCGGAATATAAGCGTTATACACCGGGGCTGCTAAACCCATTCGAACCCAGGGGGCCATTTTTCACTTTAGTATATTGTATGCAGGTCAGATAACTACAAGAGTCTACTCAATAACTACAAAAACGCCATAACAGAGAAAAAAACTGTAAGGGTGTAGGTGATAATCTATTTATTCACTACAAAAACGCCATAAAAAAAAAAAAGAAAACTGTTAGGGTGTAGGTGATAATCTATTCATTCACTAAAAAACGCCATAAAAAAAAAAAAACTGTGAGGGTGTAGGTGATAATCTATTCATTCACTTCAAAAACGCCATAAAAAAAACTGTTAGGGTGTAGGGGATAATCTATTCATTCACTACAAAGACGCCATAAAAAACAACTGTAAGGGTGTAAGTGATAATCTATTTATTCACTAAAAAAAACGCCATAAAAAACAACTGTTAGGGTGTAGGTGATAATCTATTCATTCACTACAAAAACGCCATAAAAAAAAAATACCTGTAAGGGTATAGGTGATAATCTTATACGACGAAAGACTGACAGAATTAATCATGCAAAACGGCCGACTGTAAGATTGAAACCTCAATTGTGCCGCGGGTTGTACATATTACATAATTAAGTTCCATTTGATTGTACTTTTGTAAATACGTATTTCCTTTCGTGG